CTCCCCATCTAGGCACCCCTCCATGTACCCCCCGTGCACCCCTTCCTTGCACCCTTCCTTGTACCACATGTGAATCTTCTTTCACCCCTTCCTTGCACGCCCTCCCTGTACCCCCCTCCATGCATCCCCCCTTGCACCCCCATGCACCCATTCTTTGCACCCCCCCCACTGACCCCCCAATTTCCCTCCCAATGCACGCCCTTGTTACACCCCCTTATGGACCCCCTTTTACTCCCAGGTTGCACCTCCTCTTTGCACCTCAGTGCACCCTGCAAGTCCCCCCCACATTGCACCCCTTTGGACACCCTATTATAATGGATCCCTTCATGATGCACCCCCCCCCGAACCCTTTCATCGGACCCTCCCCGAACCCTCAGGGCACCCCCTAATTTGTGTCCTCATCGCTCACCCTTTTGCACCTCATTTTACTCCCTTGTTGCACCCCTTCATTGCACCCCCTTTTTGCACCCCTTTTTCTGCCCCTTTTCAGTACCCTCTTTTCTGCCCCTTTGCCCTGCACCCCCAGCACCCCTTTAATGCCCCCCATTATTTGTCCTGAATGCACTTCCTAAAGCACCCCTGAAGTGGCACCCTTTAATTGCACCCCTCTAAGTCGCACCCCTTAATTGCCCCCCCTTAGTTTGCACTCCCGAACTGCACCTCTTAATTGCAACCCCCAAAATTACCCCCCAAATTTCCCTCCCCAAGCCCCCCTCCAAATCACATCCTCATCCTTTGTCCTCATTTGGACCAAAAAAATGTAAAAATAGCTTTTCTTTCTTTCTTTTTGTTTTTTTCCCCCGCATTTGACCCAATTTGGACCCGGTGGGATTTTCTCCCCGCTTGGCAAATGCCCAGCTCCAATGTGCGGCCGAGGTCCCGCGCATGCGCCCCCCYGGAGCCGGCTCCTCCGGCCCGGCTCCCTCCTTTTCCGCATGGAGTTTAGAGCTCCCTCTAACTCCCTGCTGGGCAAAAACGGGGCGAAAACRCTCCAGTTTGGGAAAGTTGCCTCGTCCCAACTGGAACCTGGGTGATTTCCACTGTCAACGTGGAATCCCGTCCGGTGGGTGTTTTCCTGCGGGTGTTTTTCCCGTGACAGAGTCATTCCTTAGCTAGGTGGCACGGAGAAAGGGAAGACAGCCTGCTAAATGTTAGGATTAATGGAAAAATGAATCTCGAGGGGAGGATTYGCTGCCTTGCGGGGGCACGTGGCARCTTGCGCCCTGGTTTTCCCACGGGAGCCCCGGGAAAGGGCGCTCGGAAATGTGAGAGCAAATGGGAGCCCTACCGCCCTTTCCCCCTGCGATTGTCCCAGGGGGATTTACAAATTCCCATCGGAATAAACGCAGTGGCTCCGAGGAAGCCAACCGGGATGTTCCCTTCCTCTTCCTCCCTCCTGGCAGAAACTCGAAGGCTCCAAGTGCCGGGGGCAGCTGCTGATTTTCGGAGCCACCAACTGGGACCTGATCGGCCGCAAAGAAGTGCCTAAGCAGCAAGGTCAGCAGCAGAAAGCACCTAGTAAAAACAGATATTTACATTMATAGAATAAATATAAACGTATAATGATAAAGATAGAACAATGTTAAGGATAGAACAATAATAAAGATATAGCAATAATACACATATAGCAATAATAAAGATAGAGCAATCAAAATACTAACAAATATATATTTTTGATATGGAAATGATATTTATCTGTATATGTAAATGATGTTTATTTAAATATATGGGGGTTTTTTTTGCTGCTTTAATTCCTTATTGCAAGGAGTTTTTTTGTTTGCAGGTCTAAATGTGTATTTAATGCATTTTTCGTCACTCTAACGTGGATATATGTGTTTTTTCTCTGTTTTCTCCGCCCGCCCCGTGCAGTGGCTTACCGCAACCTGGGCCAGAACCTGTGGGGGCCGCACCGGTACGGCTGCCTGGCGGGGGTGCAGGTGCGCACCGTGGTGTCGGGCCCCTGCGCCGCCCACAGCCTGCTCATCACCCACGAGGGGCGTCTCTGGAGCTGGGGTGAGACCCCCCCTCCCCCCTTGAACAAAACCCCAAATTTGGGGGGGGGAAAAAACACCAAAAATCTTTTAAAAAATGGGGGGGATTTTTTAAAAAAATCATTTTAATAAAATAAAATTAACAAAATAAATAAATAAATAATATAACATATAGTATATAGTATATAGTATATAGTATATAGTATATAGTATATAGTATATAGTATACTACTACTATATAATACAAAATATACTACTATATACTATATATAATTATTATATTTAATTATATATAATTTAATGATATAATTATAATTGTAGATATCTATATACAATATACAATATTCAGTATACAATATACAGTATATAATATATGATATAAGATATAAGATATA